CACAAGATGTGTTCTGTTAAAGGGCCCATATCCTGGAAAACCAAGTAATTCTCAGAAAAATGTTGATGTAGTACATAAACACTAAACAGGTTTCAGAGCGTGGCCACTCCGTACGGTCCATACATGGAAACTAGTAGTAAAAACAGCCCATTTTGAATTTTTGATGTCACAAACATCAACACATCTACATACATCTGCCTTTTCAGCCTACAGCAGTTTAACCCCACCCACTCACACTGAAGTTATAAAGAGTGTTTCAGCCTGGTCTGCTTTTTGAATGAAGGCACAATGCAGGGCAGCCAATCAGAACATAGCTCATTTGCATATATCAGTCTAAAAGGCAATTCTAAGAGATAAAGGTAACGTTAAAGGAATTATGGTCGTTTTTGGTACATAAAACAACACAAACGACCTCAAAAACTGTCGGATATGGGCCCTTTAAAGGCCTATATCACTGCTGTTGGGACAAAACCTCAGATCTCCATTTTTTAGTTTGTGAAATAATTTGAAAATGCCTGTTACCCTTTACATTATGTATAAATTTCATGATGCATGGACCAAAAGAAATGACCAAAAATGACTTGGAAAAAATTCTGGTTCCATTGACTTACATTGAAAGTAAAGTAAGTTTTTTCCTTCTCCTGTAAAGTTACCATTTTGGAGATACGAGGTTTTGTTCCGACAGCAGTGATATGCAGTATAATAAACCGAGCGTGTTGATATTTCACATAAAGCTACTTTCTTTTATCTGTGATTTGGGCATCAGTGAAACATTGGATTAAACTATATTGTAAAAATAACACACAATCTGACACGCAGGTGTATAAAAAGAATTTAACAACAGCCAAGAAGTGCTACTGTTGGTTTCTAAAGACATCAGTGCTCGTTCAGGTGTCGTGATCATGGTTATAAAACAGTTCCAATAACTCAGCTCTGATCTGGTCACAAAAAACAGTTCATCAATCATTACAAACATTTTCATGATTATGTTCATCTATTTATCTGCATATTTGTATTGTATGTACAGTCATTCACTTTCATTTCATTCACTCACATCATAAACTCACTTTCCCACTCTACCCTGCTCTTGTCCTCGTACTCAGACCCTAAAGCTTGGTGTCACCTGATGGTAGACAAGCCCTGACCAAGCCTGCTGTTCAAGCTAAGCACAGAAAGAGAGAATATTTCATCTAAACACAGGTCATTTCTCCAAAAAGGGGACTTTAATGACAAGCACAGGTCAGCAAGTGACGCTACCGTTACATTACTGAGCATAACGATCAGCCGGGCCTCACGAAGAGAATTAACATGTGTATTTTACAGATACTGAGAGTTCAGTTAGAGGGGACTTCCACCAGATTTTCAAAATTCCTCCACAATTCACTGAGTGCGTTTACATGCACTTAATAATCTGATCATAATTGGGTTTCTGCAGTTTTCTGATTATTCAAATGGTCATGTAAACAGCACACTCTGATTCCTTAGATCAGAGTGAAGTCTAGAAATCTGATCGAGAAATCTGATAAAGAGAGCTGGATTTTAACTCAGGTGAACTCAGGTGGTTCCATGGTGTAACAGTCTGGACTCTGAATCCAATCCGATTAGAGGCAGTCGTGGGACGGGGGAGTAGCTAAGTAGCGCGCTACTTTTTGTAGCTAACAGCTGTAGCCGCTACAGTTTTATGAAATGTGGCTAACAGCTGTGGCGCCTACAAATTTTTGTGTAGCTGTAGCGATAATTTTAAACAGGCTTCAGTCAATTCGAGCAAACGGTCACACGCTTGCCCCATGCAATGATCACCCCTTACTAGCAGGCTTAGCTCAGGGGTCGCAACACAAATGTTAAGGAGAGCCATTTTGTCCTTTCAACAAAAATGAAACCACCTTGGGAGCCACGTTTTATGTGCGTTTTACCATCTTGGCAGTAAATATGTCTCAGTACGTGCTGATGTGCTGGTACAGGCTAAAAATAATATAAACAAATACACAGACTCGCTTTGCTCTGCTTTAAGTTTTAGGTCATCTGTAGCTGCTTTTCTCACATCTCAGTCAGGAAACTTTTCCACAAAAGTAGAGTTTCCTGTAAAATGTCTCTTAACGTTCGACTTTTTATGAGGCTTCAGTTTCTCTTTCACCACCTTTTTGTTTGATTTTTTGCGTTCCCCCTTAAATGGTGCCTGAGGCGCCAGATTGTACTGCTGCGCCATTTAAGGTGAAATAGGACAATTCGAACGAGAAGCTGGTGAATGAGAAACTGACTTAAGCTTCACAACTTAGTGTTTGACAGTTGCAGATTAAACATATCAGGAAAGCAGCTAGTTAGCCTCCAAATGATCGATGTCCGTCTTAAATCTCTCTCTTTGCCGTTTCGTCAGCAACTAGCTAGGCGAGACTGTTGTCTCTGTTGCTATGGTGACCAGCAGTCTGTGCTGATCTTCATGAATTAGCAGTTTTACATTAACTCCAGAGTTTAAGATCATTTATTGTGAAAACTGTGTTTGAACTGTGTGTTATAATGATTTTACAGTAAAAGAGGATTATTATGCTATTTTACCTAAAAATCTAGTTCTGCTGTGGAGCCGCAGCAGCGCTGCAGCAATGGAGAGATTATTCAGGCCTGATTTTCAGCCCAAACAGAGTCAGAGTCACTGATGAGGATTTTGAGGCTGAAGTGTTGCTGAAGTTTAAAGGACTCTGAATGTCATTTCTGTACAGATCATACTGAAATGTTTACATTGGAGCAGTTTTATTTCAACAGCGGACAATGCTTTGGTTGTTTGGTTTGAATTCAGTTATTTCTGTAGATTTTTGTTAGAAAAAAGCCTGGAATGACTGACTTTGCCTTTAGTCTAAGTTTTTGTTGGGTATCAGGCCTTTGGTTGTGTAAGTTTGATTGTTGGTTACACTTAAACTCACTGTTTGGTGATCTTTTTGTATATTAGCTGCTTTTCAATTGTCTGTTTCTTTCTGCCACATGATTAAATGCAGTGTCTTGTTCACACTGTCAGTCGGGCTTGTTTGGTGTCAGGTGGAGATTCACAAACATTCTGACAGTCACGCTTAGAAAGTAGCTAAAAAGTAGCACTACTTTTCAAAAAGTAGCTAAAAAGTAGCACTATTTTTTTCTGGAAATGTAGCTAAATTGTAGCTAGATACAAATTTTGGGAAAGCAGCTACAAAGTATCTAGCTACTAATTTTTCAGTAGCCATCCCAACCCTGGAGTTGATTTAAGTTACATGAGCCCTGCTAACGTTCTCATGTCCTCTAGACTGCATTCATTGTGGAGCTAAAGCATAAGAGATCTAGACATACACTATATTGCCAAAAGTATTCGCTCGTTCCTTCACATGCATATGAAATTGAGTGACATCCCATTCTTAATCCATAGGGTTTAATATGATGTCGGCCCACCCTTTGCAGCTATAACAGCTTCAACTCTTCTGGGAAGGCTTTCCACAAGGGTTAGGAGTGTTTATGGGAATTTTTGACCATTCTTCCAGAAGCGCATTTGTGAGGTCAGACACTGATGTTGGACGAGAAGGCCTGGCTCACAGTCTCCGCTCTAATTCATCCCAAAGGTGTTCTATCGGGTTGAGGTCAGGACTCTGTGCAGGCCAGTCAAGTTCTTCCACACCAAACTCGCTCGTCTGTGTCTTTATGGAGCTGCTTTGTGCACTGGTGCGCAGTCATGTTGGAACAGTAAGGGGCCGTCCCCAAACTGTTCCCACAGAGTTGGGAGCATGAAATTGTCCAAAATCTCTTGGTGCTGAAGCATTAAGAGTTCCTTTCACTGGAACTAAGGGGCCGAGCCCAACTCCTGAAACACAACCCCACACCAGAATCCCCCCTCCACCAAACTTTACACTCGGCACAATACAGTCAGACAAGTGCCGTCTCCTGGCAACTGCCAAACCCAGACTCGTCCATCGGATTGCCAGACGGAGAAGCGTGATTGGTCACTCCAGAGAACATGTCTCCACTGCTCTAGAGTCCAGTGGCGGCGCTTTAGACCACTGCATTCAACACTTTGTACTGCGCTTGGTGCTGTAAGGCTTGGATGCAGCTGCTCAGCTATGGAAACCCATTCCATGAAGCTCTCTACGCTGTTCTTGAGCTGATCTGAAGGCCACATGAAGTTTGGAGGTCTGTAGTGATTGACTCTACAGAAAGTTGGTGACCTCTGCGCACTATGCGCCTCAGCATCCGCTGACCCCGCTCTGTCATTTTACCTGGCCGACCACTTCGTGGCTGAGTTGCTGTCGTTCCAAATCGCTTCCACTTTGTTATAATCCCACTGACAGTTGACTGTGGAATATTTAGTAGTGAGGAAATTTCACAACTGAACTTGTTGCACAGGTTGCATCCTATCACGGTACCACGCTGGAGTTCACTGAGCTCCTGAGAGCGACACATTCTTTCACTAATGTCTGTAGAAGCAGTCTGCAGGCCTAGGTGCTTGGTTTTATATACCTGTGGCCATGGAAGTGATTGGAACACCTGAATTCAGTGATTTGGATAGGTGACTGAATACTTTTGGCAATATAGTGTAAATGGTTAGACTGTGAAAGTCAATCATCAATCAATGTCACTTGAAACTTGACTTGAGACTGATGACAGCAGATTCAGGTAGTGTTTTGAGGAGATGCTGAAAGTTTCTCCTGTTTATTCTCTCTGAAGGTTTCTCCTTCTTTGCCCTCACGGCGTCGGACAGCCAGGACACTGTAAAATCTACAAAAGCTCAGAGCGTTTAGGTTTCTGTTACTGTTGTTGCTACAGCCATGAAGCAGCAGCTCATCATGGGTATATTTGGTCTGTCAGGATGCTTTATTCACTAACACTGTGCAAACAGTGGCTCTACAAGCACAGCTGTCTTCACTGTCACTGAGCTGACCGGTGGTATGTTAACAATATGGTGGTGGTGACAAGAGTGACATCATTCGAATACTATCTGAATGTGCTCATGATGAAGGTGTGTGTGATCTAATTTGAATGGAGTTTTCGTATATCGGCCCCCCTTGGCTACGCCCCTGAAACACAGTAATGAATGAGAGATGCTGAGGCCAGTGGGTATGATGCTAATGAGATCATGCTCACTGGTCCCCACAGGTTTTCGCTCATAAACAGTCTTGATTGCATTTTGGGGTAAAATGTTCCTTTAACTGCTCTTCAACTTGCTGAATGCTTGAACACCCAATACAACAGCAGGGCTGATAAAGTTCTCCTTAGAACTCATAGGGAGAGACCAGCACGTGGACTCGGGCCAAGTGTTTGGCCTGGAAGGTGCGGTCCGAATATTCCGCCATGTCCACGTCCACGCTGAGCTCCTGCGGCCCGACCAGCGGCTGGACCAGGATCAGTTCGCCGGTCTGGCGGTCCGAGCGCTGCATGGCGAAGAGGCTCCGCGCGTCTCCCCCTCCGGCGATGCCGAAGCGCAGGCTGTCTGGGCCGGAGCGGCCCGGCGCGGCAGCGGTGGCCATGCGGAACAGGGTGGCTGGGGTCCGCAGGTTGGAGGGCAGTGAGATGTAGTGGTAGGAGACCGTTTTTGGCGCCTGCGGGCAGGAACGACTCTCCATGGGGCAGGGGTTTCTCTCACACTGGCTGCAGAAGGAAAAATGCTTCAGTTAAAGGGCAATTCCACCAGTTTTTCAAAATCTCTCACTATTTAAAGGCTTAAGATGTAAACAGAGTCTTTCAGAGTGGTTTGGGGTGAAACACTCCGTTCTAGAGAGTCAGAACTGTTCACAGTGGTGGTGATAGGAACCAGGCGTCCACCTCTAAAAGCTCCCTCACAGAAAGTTACTACATGAAATGGTTATGAATTCACAGCCTGATGACTGAGACACTGTTTTATAATAGTTCTGACAACTTAAACTCCATTCATGGTGGAGGGATACATAATATGCAGGGTGCTGTGAGGCAAAATAGTCCCCAAAGAAAACTTATTATTCCAGATTTTCCACTATTTTCCATCATCAACATTCCATATAAACTCAGAAGACTCGTGTAGGTTCACTGGTGGTTCTGGATAGTAAATAAAATGTCTATATTTGTGTTGTAGTCATGGCGACCCCTGGTTCCTATCACCACCACTGTAAAGACATCTGAACCATTTCACACCAAACCACTCTGAATCACTCTGTTTACATCTCACACACTCAACTATGCAGAAATTCGTATAATTCTGTGTACTTCCCCTTTAAAGCAATAATCCAAAAGTCAAATATACACAGTGTTCTCCTTAGCCCAAATTCACTCGATTAGCTAAGAGCCCAGCAGGGAAGTATTTTAATCTGATATAAGATGCTACGGCATTTTGAAAGCGTCATACATGCCAAACTAATTGATCAACTACAAATAGGCTGGAATGTATAGAAGAAGAAAAGGAATGTGTGGATGAAAGGCTGAACTCCAGCAGCTCTCTTTCTCACATGTACTCAGCCACAACAAACATCCGACCATCCGCTGAGTCGGACTAATTGCTTGCTTATATAATAAATAAGCACAGAAATTCCACATTAGGAAGAATAATGACTGCATTTGGCTGGACAGTGCAAACTACTTAGTTCTGCTAGCTTTCACCACCACTGCTGTGTCCCTGCAATGCTCTGTTATGCAAGATATTGCAGAAAAATAATATAAATAATAACAGTAAATCTTTACTGTTACTGTATAGCACTTTTAGTTTTAGTGACAAAAAGCGTTTTACACAGGAAAATCAGGAAAACATTAGAAAGATGAAAATACAAAGATCTAAATGAAAAATACCACCAACTACAAACAGGAGAAAATGAGCCAAAGCACATCTCAGCATATGCCAGCCTAAACAATCACGTCTTTAATCTGGATTTAAAAACACCTTCCTAATATTCTCTGGAATGCTGTTCCGGAGTTTAGCAGCTCCGTAAGAAAAAGATCTTCCACACACTGAGCTGGAAGAGATGCTAGCAGTTTGCAGTAAAGCAGCCTCAGCTGAGTGGAGTGGTCTGGACTATCATGCTTAAAAAATTCAGTAAAATACAACAAAGCTCAGCCATTAAGAGCTTTTAAGGGCCACATCATGGAAATCCTCACTTTCGCACATCATTATAATGACTTAGTGTCTCATAATAATGAGAAAATGTTCTCATCACTATCAGATGCTGTCATTATTATGAGATAAGCCATAATTATGAGATTCTAGGTCAAAATTATGAGACAGTAAGTCATAATTATAGAAACTCTATCATTATGATGACTTATTAAATGGCTATATTTTTACAGTGGTAGATATGGGCTTTTATATTAATTATACAGAGCCCTTTAAACCAGTGTTTCTCAACTCTGGTCCTGGACCTATATAAAAAATATATATGGACATATGTTTTTATATATTTGAAATACATTTCAAATACACTGCAGTCGATGCTGAAACACATTCCAAACACTAAAATGTATTTCAGAATATTTTGCCATATTAACCAAATATATTTTAAAACACAGTTATTTTAAAATGTATGGGGAAATATTACACACAGAAATGTACCACACAGAAATAAATCAAATTTATTTGAAAATGTATGAAAACATCCTAAATCCTGTCTGATGCTCTTCACTGTCTGATACCTTTAGAAATGAATTTGTGTTCCAGTATCTTCATTTTAAATCTGATCAAATGAAGCTTTAACAGGACAAAAGCGAGTGTTGTAGGTATTGATCATAAAACAGTATCACACAAACATCCTAACTAGACTAAATCTCCTGAATACTGTCCTAACTTCAAGCAGAAGGTGGGACACACCCTCGACAGGTCACCAGTCCATCACAGAGCATAACAAATATATATATATATATATATATATATATATCACTTCTGTTGGAAGAAACCTTGTATCTCCATTTTTGTCATTTTTCAGTTTTTGGCATAATTTGAAAATAACTATTGTCCTTTACATTGTGTGTAAAGTTCATGATGAATGGACCAAAACAAACGGCCTAAAATTACTTAAAAAGACGTCTGGTTCCATTGACTTACATTAAAAGTAAACTAGGTTTTTTCATTCTCCTGTAAAGTTAGCATTTTGGATATATATATATATATAAACAAATGCTTTTTGGCATTTTCATACATTGCAAAAATATATTAAATTTAATTAATTCATTCGGACAGCTGGGATAGGCTCCAGCACCCCACCGCGACCCAGAAGGATAAGCGGTTTAGATGATGGATAGATAGATGGATAATTCATTCGGAATATATTTTTTCCATATGTGGAGGCCAACTGCACTGCTTTTTTAGTGTTTTCTCAGCTCCCAACACACCTGATCCATCTAACCAGCTCATTAACAGCCCACTATGAAGTGAGAAACACTGCTATAAACACCATAATCATAACCTGGCTGAACTTAAGAAAAAGCCCTTGTAAACTGAGGAACACTGGAGTAATACACTCAAACCATCTTTTCCTGGTGAGCACAGGAACACGGCTGCCACACTCTGAACTAGTTAAAGCTGATTTAGAGAGACGGCAGAGAAACCAGCCAGTAACACATCAATCTACACTCTAACATAGAATTGTTTTGAATTAACTGAACCCACTCTTTAAAAAGATGGTTCTTCAAGGGTTCTTCAGTAAAGAAAATGCTTCTATATAGAACCATGAACACTCAAAGAACCCTAAAGAGTTCTTTGCATCATGAAAAGGTTCTTCAGACTGATAGAGAATGTGCTGTAGATGATTCTATGTAGAAGGGTTTTGTGTAGCACCAAAAAGGGTTCCACTATTGTTATAAGCCAAAGAACCCTTTTTTGGTTGTACGTAGAATCCTTTTTGCTAAGAGTGCAGTAGTGAACAATCTAGTAGTTATGAAACTCATTTCTCAGCATCCTGTAGGGTTTAGTGTGGGTTTCAGTAGTGCATTACAAATAGGACTCAAATGATAAACTAGCATCCAAGGTTAAACCAAGAGCTTTCACTGTAGCTTTTGGTTGCACTGAGAAACTATTGAAGTGAAATTCCTCCAAATTTCCAAATTTCTACATAATACAACATTTAAGATATTTAAACAGAGTCGTTCAGAGTGGTTTGGTGTGAAACGCTCTGTTCTAGACAAAACTTACAGAGTCAGAACTGTTCACAGTGGTGGTGATAGGAACCAGACGTCCACCTCTAAAAGCTCCCTCACAGAAAGTTCCTACATGAAATGGTTATGAATTCACTGCCTGATGACTGAGACACTGTTTCATTATATTTTTAAGAAGTTTTCCCCGAAAATAGATTTTATAAAACACATGCAGGGGATTTAACACTATTTTCCATCATCAACATTCCATATAAACTCAGAAGACTTGTGTAGGTTCACTGGTGGTTCTGGATAGTAAATAAAATGTCTATATTTGTGTTGTAGTCATGGTGACCCCTGGTTCCTATCACCACCACTGTAAAGACATCTGAACCATTTCACACCAAACCACTCCGAAAGACAATGAAATTTTGAAAAATGGTGGAACTCCCCTTTTAGAGACAAGGATAAAACCTTACGTCTAATTTAGACATTAGCTTTAGCTTTATGTAGAATTTTAACAATCTGGCCAGAAAAGACGCAAATCCTTCTTATTGGAAACAGAAGTCTATAATGAAGCAGTCTCAGCGCTCAGTGTAAGGAGAACATCCAAACAGTGTTCTAAAACAGTGTGTTTGGTCAGCGCGTTGCTGCACTGTGCCTGGGCGTGTGTGCTGGCACTCACAAAGGCGAGGTCTTGACGTAGCTGACGTTTCCGTGCGAGCGCGGGCACTCGGGGTTCACGCACTGGAAGCCTCCGCCGGTGTTGACACAGGTGGTGCCACGGCTGCAGTTATGCTGTTGCGTAAGACACTCATCCACATCTGGAGTAGCGCAGGCATGAGAGAGGGAGGAACAGAGAGAGGAGAGTGAGGAGGACTGATGGGACCGTTCAGCTGGGCATTTGCGTTCGGCCTATTCAAGTGTTTCATGCCCACAAGAGGAAGGTGATGTCATGTGTTGTTGAGGAACATGCTGAACCAAATACACAACGAAGAGCAGCGTATCAGTTCTTTGATTCCCCTGTTGTATCACTAACTACAGAGTTCCAAACTGCCTCTGGAAGCAACATCAGCACAAGAACTGCGCATCATGACCTTCATGAAATGGGTTTCCGTGGCTGAGCAGCTGCACACAAGCCTAAGATCACTATGTGCAATGCCAAGCGTCGACTGGAGTGGTGTTTTTTTCTGAGGTGTCCATAAGAGTAGATTTATTTTGGTTCTTAAAAATGCTTCTTTTTAAAAACTATAGGGACATCCCAGAATAATAAACCACTTTTAACCTACAATAGGGTTACTTAAGGATCTAAAAAGGTTTTATATGAATATATACACTATATGTCCAAAAGTGTCACTTATATGAGCTTACTGGAACATTAATATGGAGTTGGTCCCCCTTTGCAGCTATAACAGTCTCCACTCTTCTGGGAAGCTTTCTACAAGCTTTTGGAGTGTCTGTGGGAATTTGTGTCCATTCAATCAAAAGAGCATTTGTGAGGTCAGACACTGATGTTGGACGAGAGGGTCTGGCTCACAATCTCTGTTCAAGTTCATCCCAAAGGTGTTCAGTGGGGTTGAGGTCAGGGCTCTGTGAGGACCACTGGAGTTCCTCCACACCAAACTGGTCACTCCCTGTCTTTATGGAGCTGCTTTGTGCACAGAGGCTCAGTCATGCTGGAACAGGAAAGGCTCTTCCCCAAACTGCTGACACAAAGCTGGAAGCAGATAACTGTGTAAAATGTCTTTGTGCTGTAACATCAACATCACCCTTCACTGGAACTGAGAGCCCAAACCCTGAAAAACAGCCCAGCCCATCATCCCTCCTCCACCAAACTGTACTGTTGGCTCTATATTCTGGTAGGTAACGTTCTCCTGACCTCCACCAAACCCAGATTCATCATCAGACTGACAGATCTGAGAATCACACACCACCACCACATCAGTGTTACTGCAGTGCTGAGAATGATCCACCACCCAAATAGTACCTGCTCTGTGAGGGTCCATGGGGGTCCTGACCACTGAAGAACAGGTTAAAAGGGGGCTAACAAAGTATCAGAGAAACAGATGGACTACAGTCTGTAACTGTAGAACTACAAAGTGCACCTATATAGTAAGTGGAGCTGATAAAATGAGCGTAGAAACAAGGAGGTGGTCAGAATGTTATGCCTGATCAGTGTATACACACACTATATGTGTTTTGTTATACTGTACAACCCTGTATGACAATGACAATAAAGTTTAATTGAATTAAACTGAGCCGAATATAAACATTTGGCCCTACCGCCCACTAATAATCTGCCCTGGTGCAACTCACCCTCACAGCTCCTGCCATCTGCAAGCAGCTTGTAGCCGCCGGGGCAGGAGCAGCGATACGAGCCTGGAATGTTCACACAAACATGGGCACACAGGAGCCCACCGCTGTCTGCTTTATACACCTCGCACTCGTTCACATCTGCAGAGAGAGAGAGGGAGAGAGAGAGAGAGAAGAAAACCAATGACAACATGACCAAACTGTTTTCATTCAAGCCTGACAAAAAGAAAACACAATGAGAGACACATTCAAGAGGAACAGTAGGAGAGAGAGAGAGAGAGAGAGAGAGAGAGAGAGAGAGAGAGAGAGAGAGAGAGAGACAGATGGGCTGGAAAATGAAGTGAAATGACTGAAAGAATGAAGCAGAAGGTCTGAAAAGGCATAAAAAATAAACAGAAAGGAAGAAAAAACAGAAAGAATGGTGGAAGAATGAGAGCAGGGAGGGGATTTTAGCCCTTCCCCTCCACTCATGTGTTCGGTCTGTGTGTCTGGGGCCTCCAGCCAGAGCATTTAACGGCTTATTGGTCGTCATGGACCTTGACCTCGGAAAAATACTGCACAGGAACACTGGGGACCTCAAAGCTGTGGAGACAACCAGCTTTTAAAAAGCTGCTCAGGTGGCTCAAAAATATTCCTTTCAGTTTTTCCACCACTTTCCATAAGCAAGTATTAAAGAGATCAAATCAAACGTACACAGTTTACCTCTTAACACATACGTACTAGATCATACGGAGCCCCTGAAGAAACATTGTGTATTTTTTTAGGTAAATATCTGGTGCGCACCAGATACTTTTAGGTGAGCACCCAGTACTATCCAGTGAGCACCAGATACTATGTGGTGATCACCTGATACTATCAGGTGAGCACCAGATACTATCAGGTGAGCACCCAGTATTATCAAGTGAGCACCAGACACTATGTGGTGAGCACCAGATACTATCAGGTGAGCACCCATTATTATCAAGTGAGCACTAGATACTATCAGGTGAGCACCCGATACCATGTGGTGAGCACCAGATACTATGGTGAGAAAAACCAAAGTGTGTGTGTGTGCATCTGTATATCCATAAACTGTGTCAGTGGTCATTGGGCTCCATAGTATCATGACTTCACAGACCACTACTCTGTACACTGGCTGTGCTTGTTATCCTTCATCATTCCGTCATGGAAGAAGACATTTCTGACTTTTTAGAGTCACGACAGGGGGCACAAGAACAAATAAAGCGAGGTGAGCTTATTTGTTCAGACAGCTATAAGAACTTTAATAATTTACCAATTTGTTCTTTATATATAGAGAGATATAGCTAAATGTTGGCATCTTTAAGTAGCTTTATTTGTTCTTGTGCCACCTGTCGCCAGTGAACACTGACACTGTTTATGTATATATCTATTTTGGTGCTCATATCTATATCTGGTGCTCACTTGATAGTATTGGGTGCTCACTAGATGGTATCGGGTGCTCACCACATAGTATCTGGTGCTCACCATATAGTTTCTGGTGCTCACCTGATAGTATTGGGTGCTCACCTGATAGCATCTGGTGCTCACCACATAGTATATGGTGCTCACTTGCTAGTACTGGGTGCTCACCTGATAGTATCGAGTGCTCACCACATAGTATCAGGTGCTTACTAGATGGTGCTCACCACATAGTATCTGGTGCTCACCATATAGTTTCTGGTGCTCACTTGATAGTATTGGGTGCTCACCCGATAGCATCTGGTGCTCACCACATAGTATATGGTGCTCACTTGATAGTACTGTGTGCTCACCTGCTAGTATCGAGTGCTCACCACATACTATCAGGTGCTTACTAGATGGAATCGGGTGCTCACCATATAGTTTCTGGTGCTCACTTGATAGTATTGGGTGCTCACCTGATAGTATTGGGTGCTCACCTGATAGCATCTGGTACTCACCACATAGTATCAGGTGCTAATCACATAGTATCTAGTGCTCACTTGATAGTACCTGGTGCTCACCTGATAGTATCTGGTGCTCACCTGATAGTATCTGGTGCTCACCTGTTCTAGAGTCTTTATTGTTCGCAGTGATAGGAACTGGAAGTTTCTCTTTGATGACCCATTTCACATCAAACCACTCTGATTAAGTTCATGATTGAATTATGCAAAAATCTGGAAAAATGAGTGGACGTTCCCTTTAAGTAATCTCAAATAGACTTAGTACCCTAAACATGAACAAACTAGGAGGGGGAGGTTTGTGAACCAACTTTAAGTTGGCTTGCTGTTGCTATGAAATCCCAGGTGGTTGCTGAGGTGTTGCTTGGCTGTTGCTAGGCAATTGCTATGAAATCCGTGGCGGCTGCTAAGGTGTGGCTAGGCTGTTGCTAAGGTGTTGATATGTTATTCCAGGTGGTTGCTAAGGTGTTGCTGGGCTGTTGCTCTGTTATCCCAGGTGGTTGCTAAAGTGTTGCTAGGGCACTGCTACAGAATCCTAGGCAGTTGCTAAGGAGTTGCTAGGCCATTGCTATGAAATCTCAGGTGGTTGCTAAGGTGTTGCTATGCTGTAACTATGGTATCCCAGGTGGTTGCTAAAGTGTCGGTAGGCCACTGCTACAGAATCCTAGGCAGTTGATAAGGTGTTGCTAGGCTGTTGCTTTTGTATCCCAATTGGTTGCTAAGGTGTTGCTTTTGTATCTAGGGAGTTGTTAAGGTGTTGCAAGACCGTTGCTATGGTATCACAGGTAGCTGCTAAGGTGTTGCTGAGCCTTTTCTATACTAGGTGGTTGCTCGGTTGTTGCTAACCCTCTGCATTGGACTCTTAGGTGATTGTCTAGCTGTTGCCTGGTATCCTAGGAGGCTGCTAAGGTGTTGATGTGGTATTAAGGGGGTTGCTAAGGTGTTGCTTGGTCATTGCTATGCTACTCCAGCTGGTTGCTAAGTTTTGCTAAGGTATCCCAGGTGGTTGCTATTATGTGAGTATCTATATGTGCTAGTATGAATGTAATTTGTATGTAATGTCTATGGGGGAGTGAGAGATGCCCTTTGTGACATAAATTGTGGCAATATTAGAGTTGAATTTTCTCAGCATTGCACCATTAATATCCTATGGGGAAGAAATCATGTTTGAGCAAACTCTGTACCAAAACAGTGTGTGCGGTCAGTCCCAGTGTAACAGCACAGAATGAGTCAGATGCTTGCGGTAAAAATTATCAAGAGAGGCTTTACTGAGGGAAACGTGAAACAGGTTCGTAGTCAAAAAGCAGGCGTGGGTCAAAACCAAAAAATACAACCAGATCAAAAACATAACAATCGGCAGAGCAATCCGAAGGGCGAGGCAAAAGGGCAAATTCCAGAAGACGGTCCAAAAGGTCAAAAAACGGTGAGAGAACAAAAGGCAGACAATCCAAAGGGTTAGGCAAAAGACAGTCGAGAAAAACAGGCAAAACGGTCATAAACAGAAAAGCTGATATACAACAGAACGCCCAGTAGGTCGAGAACGATACAATACTTCGCAACCTTTCTGTACTAAAGCCTGAGCTTATAAGCTAAAGATGTCACATGACCTATGAAACAGGTGAATCAAATTAGTATTCGGGAGAGTGAGAGTGCTGAGTGGAGCATGAAGGCAGTTCAGAGGTCGCAGGAGTCATGTAATTTCCCTGAGGATTCTGGGAGATGGAGTCCGAGTGAGAGTCAGAGACTGAGGGATGCGTGACGCCCAAACGCACGAGCACTACACCTGTATAGGCCCTACAATCCTGATCCTAGCAACTCGCTTGACTGGCTACATTTTAGTATATTCGATTTTTTTGCAGGCTGTTCCTTTAAGTTTCGGCCTTTACCATGAAACTATCACTTTAAGAATGTTACTGTTTATGATTGATGTGCTGTGACATGTAGCACACAGTGACAGACAGTTTCTCCCTGGTCTGCTCTGTATCAGCTGGTTAGTGTGGCCGGCGGTGGACGTTACCCTGGCAGATGCTGCTGTCCGAGGTGCCGCTCATGTGGAAGCCAGCGTCACAGCTGCAGTGCTGCGCTCGGTCCACTTTAGCACAGCGGGGCTTCCGGCTGAACGCCGGATCGTTCACCACGCTCCACTCCGGAGGAGCTGAGCACACAAACAAACAGACACATACAGAGTCACGGACATGCACGCACCAAAACAAGGAAATATGAGTGATTTGGAAACTGGAGGGGACACTTTAAAAGAGGATTTTGGTCATTGTTTTTCATAATTCAGTGGTTGAGATGTAAACAGAGTCATTGAGAGAGGTTTGGTGTGAAATGGTTTATTATAGACTTTTTATTTTAGAGAATTTTAGAGAAATTTCTTTACAGTGGTGGTGAGGGGAACCAGTGGTCACATAATCCTATTTTATAGTTATACTTGATCTCAAAACTATCGTAAAATGACGTCTCAGTCATCAGGCAGTGAATTCATAAGCATTTCATGTAGTAACTTTCTGTGAGGGAGCTTTTAGAGGTGGACGTCTGGTTCCTATCACCACCACTGTGAACAGTTCTGACTCTGTAAGTTTCTCTAAAACAGAGCGTTTCACACCAAACCACTCTGAATGACTCTGTTTACATCTTAAGCATTTAATTATGCAGAGATTTTGAAAAATCAGTGGAATTCCCCTTTCAGGTTTTTCTTAGCCGCTGCCAAAAAAGCCCACAAGAAGAAGATGGTTGGTAATATGACCTTCCAAAAAACAGCAATGGATTGAGAGAGTAACAGAGATCCAAGGTGTGGAAAAGCTGGCTTTTGTCCAGAGACTGGAAAATGGGATTATGTGTACAGCCTGGCATATAAACACTAATTGTCTTTTGTCTTGTTAATGTAAACTCTGACTCTGTGTTATTACTCTGTGTTTCCATGGTACACTGCAAATTAAAAAAGGTAAAAGTAACTAAACAAACAAATTAATAAATACATTTATGCAAGATCCTCCTGCACATATATTTTATGGCCAAAAGTATGTGGACACTCTTAGTTATTGAGTTCAGGTGTATAATATCAAGCACTTGCAGTCTCCACAGGCAAACAGTGGCAGTAGAACGGGTCGTACTGAAGAGCTCAGTGACTTCAAACATGGCACTGTCATAGGATGCCACCTCTGCCACAAGCCAGTTGGTGAAATGTCAGTCCTTCTAGATCTGCCCCAGACAACTGTAAGTGCTAATATTGTGAAATGGGAGCAACAACAGCTCAGCCACAAAGTGGTAGACCACACAAACTCACCTAAAAATCACCTATCCTCTGTTGCATCACTCACTACAGAGTTCCAAACTGCCTCAGCACAACAACTGTACATGATGACCTTCATGAAATGGGTTTCCATGGCTGAGCAACTGCACACAAGCCTAAGATCACTATGCGCAATGCCAAGCGTCGACTGGAGAGGTGTAAAGCGCCTCCACTGGACTCTGGATCAGTGGAAACGTGTTCTCTGGAGAGATGAATCAGCTTCTCTATCTGTCAGTCTGATGATGAATCTGGGTTTGGTGGAGGTCAGGAGAACGTTACCTACCGGAATGCAGAGCCAACAGTAAAGTGTGGTGGAGGAGGGATGATGGGCGGGGCTGTTTTTCAGGGTTTGGGCTCTCAGTTCCAGTGAAGGGTGATGTTGATGCTGCAGCACAAAGACATTTTACACAGTTATCTGCTTCCAGCTTTGTGTCAGCAGTTTGGGGAAGAGCCTTTCCTGTTCCAGCATGACTGAGCCCCTGAGCACAAAGCAGCTCCATAAAGACATGGAGTGACCAATTTGGTGTGGAGGAACTCCAGTGGTCCTCACAGAGCCCTGACCTTAACCCCACTGAACACCTTTGGGATGAACTGGAATGTCGATTGTGAGCCAGACCCTCTCGTCCAACATCAGTGTCTGACCTCACAAATACTGTTCTGGATGACTGGACACAAATTCCCACAGACATCTTGTGAAAAGCTTCCCAGAAGTGTGGAAGCTGTTATAGTCGCAAAGGGGGGCAACTCCATATTAATGCCCATGGTTTTGGAATGGGATGTCCAACATGTTCATATAGGTGTGGTCGTCAGGTGTCCACAAACTTTTGGCCACATAGTATAAACGGTTCCCATGCCCATGCATCAGACAATGGACAGGACAACAGTGTACCCTGACTGAAGAACACATGGGACGATTTACTAAAGCCTTTCAGCATTTTCCAATTATTACCCTGCTCAGAAACATTCGCCACTAATCAGTGAATTCAACCAGATGACACGTTGTTTGTAAAGCGATTTGTATTTGCTGGAGGCTTATTACACGCAAATTACACGCACATCTAGCACAACACAGAACAGGCAAACATACAAATTGGTGACAAATTGTGGCATCTGTTTCCTTGGAATCAGATAAAAGGGAAACTTTAACCAAAAATACTATCATGCTTCATCATGCATGAAAGCAAGTTGGGACTAGATGCCATCTACGTGCTAAAATCGGAATTCCACTGATTAAAAAAAAAATCTGCTTAATTAAATCATTATGAGGAAAACAGAGCCATTCAGAGCGGTTTGGTGTGAAACGCTCTGTTCTAGAGAAACTTACAGAGTCAGAACTGTTCACAGTGGTGGTGATAGGAACCAGACGTCCACCTCTAAAAGCTCCCTCACAGAAAGTTCCTACATGAAATGGTTATGAATTCACTGCCTGATGACTGAAACCCTGTTTTATGATAGTTTAGAGAACTTAAACTCCATTCATGGTGGAGGGATACATGCAGGGCGCTGTGAGGCAAAATAGTCCCCAAAGAAAACGTATTATTTCAGATTTTCCACTGTTTTCCATCATCAACATTCCATTCCATACCAGACTGATAGAGAATGTGCTGTAGATGATTCTATGTAGAACCTTTTTCAAAAGGGTTCTGTGTAGCGCCAAAAAGGGTTCCACTATTGTTATAAGCCAAAGAACCCTTTTTTGGTAGTACGTAGAATCCTTTTTGCTAAGAGTGCAGTAGTGAACAATCTAGTAGTTATGAAACTCATTTCTCAGCATCCTGTAGGGTTTAGTGTGGGTTTCAGTAGTGCATTACAAATAGGACTCAAATGATAAACTAGCATCCAAGATTAAACCAAGAGCTTTCACTGTAGCTTTTGGTTGCACTGAGAAACTATTGAAGTGAAATTCCTCCAAATTTTCAAAATTTCTACATAATACAACATTTAAGATATTTAAACAGAGCGGTTCAGAGCGGTTTGGTGTGAATCGCTCTGTTCTAGAGAAACTTACTGAGTCAGAACTGTTCACAGTGGTGGTGATAGGAACCAGACGTCCACCTCTAAAAGCTCCCTCACAGAAAGTTCCTACATGAAATGGTTATGAATTCACTGCCTGATGACTGAGACACTGTTTTATGATAGTTTTAAGAAGGTTCCCCTAAAATAGATTTTATAAAACACATGCAGGGGATTTAACACTATTTTCCATCATCAACATTCCATATAAACTCAGAAGACTCGTGTAGGTTCACTGGTGGTTCTGGATAGTAAATAAAATGTCTATATCTGTGTTGTAGTCATGGCGACCCCTGGTTCCTATCAGCACCACTGTAAAGACATCTGAACCATTTCACACCAAACCACTCTGAATCACTGACTATATCTCACACACTGAACTATACAGATATTTTGAAAAATGAACACAGCTCCACTTTAATGATCCCAATGCATAAGCTTTTAATTATTGTTACCAATAAAACAGCTTCAAATTTTAAGCGATTTTGGAAGATATAATCCTTTAAGCTAGTGTTTCTCAATTCCAGGCCTGTAGTTTCCTGCAGCTGTGTCATTAGCTCATTTTCACTAACCCTAACCCTTTTCAGATGAATCATGTTAGAGCAGAAAAACATAAAACTGTGCAGTAAGTGAGCCTCCAGCACTGGAGCTGAGAAACACTGTCAAAGCAGCCTAACACTGAGGAACGACTATGACATGTAGGAGCGCCTGGGGCTCAACCAACACAGTTTGGCTTTCACTAAGCAATTTTTAAAAATGTCTGAAGAAGATTAATCTTTTTTTGTACAATATAAGCAACTTAAACATCTCTGTCACAAATAACAGCGTGATTTTGTTTCTTGCACCTGTTGTCTGTGAACAATTCAGCCAAATGTGGAGTATCTTGCAACTTTGCCCATCACTCTTACAAAAGATGTTTCTTCAAGGGTTCTTTAGTAAAGAAAGTGGTTCTATATAGAGCCAAGAACCCTTTGCATGATTAAAGGGTCTTTTGCATGGTGAAAGTGTTCTTCAGACTGATGGAGAACGTGCTGTAGATGGTTCTATATAGCACCTTTTTGAAAAGGGCTCTTTCTTCTGTTGTTATGATGTCAAGCATAGAACCATTTTCTTTACTAAAGAACCCTTGAAGAACCCTATTTGTTAAGAGGGGGGTCAGTTGATTCAAAACAATTCAATATTCTATGAGCTTTCCAACCCTAACCTTGGGGTGTTAAACTGTGTTAAACTCAGAACTGTGGGTCTGAAAGGATGTGTAGCTGTCAAGAAGAACCTCACTGAGAAAAGGAGACGGACACATCAAACAAAGAAGCTGAACGATGGACTGACCACCCCAGAGTCCAGACCTCAACACCACTGAATGTGTTTGATTACTTCAGAAAATGATCAACCAGCTTCTAAGACTGAACTTTGGAGGTGTGTCTGCAGATTCTTTGAGGAACTGAAAGTGAGTCTCCTGTAAAGAAAAAAAGCTGGAAGTATAGAGTAACTCACAACATATCTATATATATATATATATGTCGCTGTCGTCAGAAGAAAACCTCGTATCTCCAAAATGGTAACTTTACAGGAGAAGGAAAAAACATACTTTACTTTTAATGTAAGTCAATGGAACCAGAGTTTTTTCCAAGTCATTTTGGGCCGTTTCTTTTGGTCCATTCTTCATGAAATTTACATACAAAGTAAAGTGCAACAGGCATTTTCAAATTATGTCAAAAACTAAAAAACGTCAAAAATGGAGATACGTGGTTTTCCTCCGACAACAGCGATATAATCATTTTCTGTTAGATACATTTTCTGCTTTTTTCCTGAAACTGAAAAATAAATAACTTATACTTAATGACCGTTCTAACTGGAAATGAAATAAACGAGGGGTCTCTAAGTTTTGCACAGCACTGTATGAAATCTATGATGCATTTTAACCCGTGTTAGGTTGTGTGTGCTCCTCTACAAACACTGCAGACTCACCTGTCTGAGTCTGGTGCTGACAGCGGCTCCCGGTCCAGTTGTGCGGGCAGGTGCACTTGTACTGGTTCACTCCCTCCACACAGGTACCGCCGTTCAGACACGGGTTACTCGCACACTGACTCACATCTGCATGTGGAAAGAGAAGGTAGCAGAGGGGTTATCAGATAAACTGACAGACAAAATACAATCATATTCATAGTAACAGCCTCAGGTGATGTTTCAGTTAGCGCCCTGCAGAGCTGCTGATCTCCAGCTGTCTGTCATCACTATATCACCTCTCCTGTTAATACACACTGTGCAGTACATCATAACCTGCTACTGTGATGACACTCTCACTATGATCTTAGACTGTAAACACTGCTGGTACTCCTAGTTGTCTATACTCACTGTGTTGTAAACTACCTCTTACCATTTAATGCAATACCTGCTCTCATGTAAATACAACAATCTGTCTTACACGTTTATACACATATGGGAATAGATATACACCGACACGCCAGAAGTACTCAAACATAAACTTACATACACCAATCAGGCATAACATTCTGACCACCTCCTTGTTTCTACGCTCATTGTCCATTTTATCAGCTCCACTTACTATATAGGTGCACTTTGTAGTTCTACAGTTACAGACTGTAGTCCATCTGTTTCTCTGATACTTTGTTAGCCCCCTTTTACCCTGTTCTTCAGTGGTCAGGACCCCCATGGACCCTCACAGAGCAGGTACTATTTGGGTGGTGGATCATTCTCAGCACTGCAGTAACACTGACGTGGTGGTGGTGTGTTAGTGTGTGTTGCGCTGGTGTGAGTGGATCAGACGCAGCAATTAAAATTACAAATAATAAAAAAGGTTATTCTTAATAAGTGTGTCAGGCTCAGCTTTGTGTTTATTTTATTTATCCTCAGAACCGGATTTTGTTGATGGGTAAATTCAAAGTGTTTTGAAAACTGACGCTTCACTACTCAGGCCAGATATAGTAAATAAAATTAATAATCTATGAAAATATGTGAAATGATTCTCTTTCCGATCTGATCTCTGTTTGTAGCCTCTGTTCTGATGAGCTGTAAGTTGTTTATATAAATGGATGTGATTGGATCAACTGTATTATGGAGCTGCTACAGAAATACGACCGTTTTTGCTACATAATTTTGTGCTTGGTTCAGTCCACAGTCTGCAGCGTCTCCATCTGGACCGCAGCCCACCGGTTGATGACCCCTGCACTATAACATAAAACTGCTGTTTGTGTTTGTGTCTGTGTTTTAATGGTGGGAATGTGACTGTTACTGTTACAGTAATAGCTCTAATGGCTGGAGAGCATGATGTTTCCCACATGTTGATGGAGAGATAACACTGTACAGCTTTTATTCTCGCTGTAATTGATCATCAAAGTCGCTACCACTTTCATATCAGTGGCCTTTTCATTTTAATCATCGTTTTGTCTTTAATCTGTGGTCTCTTGGTGTGTTCATTACAGCATGCCGTACAGGACTCTTGATGCAATAGCAAGAAGCAAGTTGAGTAGCTTTGCCTTTGCAACACTGATATTGAAGAAGGCAGCAATGTGCATATCAATCACTCAGTTCCAAAACAGCTGGGACAGTTTGTGAAATGCTGAACTTAATTGTTTATTTGTAAATATATGCTCATTCCAAATTTGATGCCTGCAATACGTTCCAAAAAAGGTGGGATAAGATCATGTTTACCACTGAGTTACATCACCTCTCCTTCAACAGCACTTACTAATCGTTATGGGACTGAAGACACAGAGACTCTGTTTACACCTGGTCACTTCTTGAGTATCAGGAATATATCTGGATGAGGCCACATAAAAACGCAAGTGTAAACGCAGCCAAGACGCATTTAAAACAGATACAAATCTCATCACTCAAACCACTTCAGGAACCCTTCCCAGTACAAACCAAAACCCCTCCCAGTACAAATGAAACCCCTCCCAATACAACCAAAACTCCTCCCAGTACAACCAACACCTCTCCCAGTACAAACCAAACCCCTCCCTGTACAAATGAAAACCCTCTCAGTACAACCGAAACTCCTCCCAGTACAACTGAAACTGCTCCCAGTACAACCAAAACCTCTCCCAGTACAACCAAAACCCCTCCCAGTACAACTGAAACTCCTCCCAGTACAACTGAAACTCCTCCCAGTACAATTGAAAATACAACTCCTCCCAGTACAACCAAAACCCCTCCCAGTACAACCGAAACTCCTCCCAGTACAACCAAAACCCCTCCCAGTACAACCAAAACCCCTTCCCATCCAGTCACTATGCATGTGATCCGTGTCTGGCAACATGGGCAGACACGACTGTACAAAACACACTGCCGATGACTTAATAAACAGTAACTGGTTGCCATGTAACGAGCTGATTTGCATATCCCATCCCACAGCAATCAGCACTGCTGTGTCTGATCCACTCGTACCAGCACAACACACACTAACACACCACCACCACTGCGTCAGTGTTACTGCAGTGCTGAGAATGATCCACCACCCAAATAGTACCTGCTCTGTGAGGGTCCATGGGGGTCCTGACCACTGAAGAACAGGGTAAAAGGGGGCTAACAAAGTATCAGAGAAACAGATGGACTACAGTCTGTAACTGTAGAACTACAAAGTGCACCTATATAGTAAGTGGAGCTGATAAAATGGATAATGAGTGTAGAAACAAGGAGGTGGTCAGAATGTTATGCCTGATCGGTGTATATCATATATATATATGTATGTCATATATATATATGGGCAACAGGGATTTTCAAATTACACCAAAAACTGAAAAACAACAAAAAATGGAGATAAAGGTTTTGTCCCGACAGCAGAGATATATAATTTTTATAAGCTTAAGATGTAAATCTAAAACTGCCAAAAATGTTAATGTGCATAAGTGTTCAGAAACCCCTTAGGGTATGACCCATAGGGCATGGGGCATCCCACAGAGGTCAGTTTTTTTTTATTTAGTTTTGACACTTTTGTCCCAAACTGAAGTCTCTGACAGTCACAGCTCACCACTGTGTACGAGTTCTGCTCTTACTGCAGTCCTAGAGAGAGAGAGAGAGAGAGAACGGGAGAGAGACATACATTTATATATGAAAAGAAACACAAAGATGTAGAAAGAAGGACGCTGAAAGCAGAGAAAGAATCTGGACTGTTTCTTGGCTCTCTGGCCACAGCGTTGGCACTGACTGCTGTGCCCCTAATCCTCTCTGTGTTTACGTGATTTCCCTGGAGGCTTTAGGCTCAAGCGCTCACAGATGTAAAAGCCTCGCTTCAATCTCTCAGATATTTCTGAGCTCTGTTTGCGTTCTCCATCTCTCAGAAGTGCTTTTGGAAGCAAAACACCTTAAATAGCTTCATTTAGGCTCCATTTCTGCCCTGGCTGGAAACATGTACATGCAGAGATCGCTTGTTTTTGGGTCTTTTTGGCCGGTGCTGCAGTGCTACCCTCTCTCGCGCACGTCCAGGCCTACTAGGATTACATATACCGGGTCAAGATCCGTCCCACTGTACCACTTGGAATGTCTGAGGCCATTGCCAGCTGCGACGCTGAAGGAAGCCATCAATAGCATGCTTAGCATACTTTCATGCTATCAAAACCCCAGGCCTGCTTTAATGAGATGTGTGTGGAGTTAAAGGGATACTCCACCCAAAATATGCTCCCACTTTTGTTCCTGAAAAGAGCAAAAAGTAGGCCAGACAGCATGACAAACAAATAAATGATCAATTATCAGTCACTTGTAACAGTCTGTTCCTCTTTTAGTTGAGTTTAACTTTTCCTTTCTCTTTTTTATTTCATTTTATTATTATATTATTACTAATAATATTATTGTATTTATTTTTATTACCTTTTATAATCCTCTTACTTGACTGTTTTAAACATTTCATATATATACGTTTTATATTGAAATCTTATTAACTGGTTTATTTTTTTTTATTTTGTATTTCTCCTTTCTTAAAAAACTTTTTTCCATTAATATGTTTACGTAGTTTTATTCATTTTGTCACGGATTCTTCCTTTGTCCCTCTGAGTGTCTGTTTCTTCCCCTCTGTTGTAGCCATGTGCCTTTTTGTTTTCTTATACCATGTGCTTTTGTTGTTCTGTGTCTCCTCCCTGGTCCGGCCCCCTTGTTATCTGCTCCACCTGTCTGTGCTCCGCCCCTCATTAGTCCCAGGTGTTTCTTATTTTCCCTCAGTGTATTTATACCCCTGTGTTTGTTCAGTCTTTGTGTTGCACTGTGGATGTATTTGTGGAAGTTTCCTTGTCTCTCGTTTGCTTTCTTCTTGTTTGTTTTTGTCAAGGACTTGTCTGTTTTTCAATCTTCTTCTACTCAGATTCTGGACTCTGACTCTAATTTGAATAAAAGCAACTCGCATTTGCATCCTGCCTCCTTGCCTCAACCGTTACACATTTAAGTTTAACCTGATTAAATTTAATTTCAATTTCTTTTTCAATCTCTTTAATGTTGTAAATGCTCAGCTACATTGAAACAAGTCACCCCTTAACATATTTGAGTGAATATAAAGGTTGATTGATTTATTTGCAAAACAAGAAAGCAAGACAGTTATATATTTAAAAGAGTGTATAGAGGGCTTGAAACCAGAGGGGAGTACATGACGAGAGATATTGTAAAGATGACAAACTCTGACCTGTTTTATTTATATTCACCCTGAACATTAAAACTGCATCCATATTTATATGAAAAAGGTTTCTGCCATCAGGCAGATCTCAGTTTGGGACTGATCCCAAAACGTTGTGCTATGATTTCCAGGTTGGACGACATGTTTGTCGAAACGGTGTGAAACAATGTGCAGCAGGCTTTGAGATAGGTTATCTCTTGTTTGATGCTTGATTGATGGGCGTGTCAGAGGTGAAACCCAATCAGCAGCGACGTGTATATAAACACTATTACCGTATTAAAAAGGCAGCACACAATGGATTCTAACAAAGTCCTCTACACATGTGGCCACTGCAGCTTGGTGTGCCATTACACATCAACTGAAGATGTTGCCATCTATTAAGCCGCAATCATGGTGAAGGTGAAGGAGCTTCCAAAAGTTCTCAGGGAGAACATTATTAAGCGACACTCAAATGGACAAAGCTGCAGAGCCC